TGGGCACCATCAGCTTTCTTCACCACACTTGCTTGTGCACCATTGTCTTCAGTGCCTTCAGGTGTTATATCTTTTAGTAGCCAAGCATCATCCACTTTCTTCACCACATTTTCTTGTGCACCCATTGTCTTCAGTGATCATGCCAGGCAGGTGAGCATCTCAGACTGCCGAATTGTTAGAACAAAGTGTTCTTGTGTTGGGGGAGTACTTGTGCAGGGGCCCACTGTCCATCTGTTTTATTAATACTCAACCTATAAATATATGTACATAGATCTATTTCCCCGTCATCATATATAAATATATTTTCTTGTTAAACTTTTAAAGCATGTTCAGTTTAAGCTTTTTAAGTGACCTAAGGAGAAAAGTATTATTCTAGCAAATGGAAGGTTGTGCATTATTTTAGTGTTATGCTGTGCTCTATGGTTAGAGAGAGAGTGAAGAAAATGTTTTACAATTCCTGTCTACCCTTGTGCAATTTTTATTGGGACTTTGAATTTATTGCATAAGATTAAGGCCTGATCCCTATGGAATTGTTGGGTGTAAGTTTCCTGTGATCATCTGTGTAAAATGATCCTGGTGATTTTTTTTTAAAGCCAGAAGGGAAAAATCCCACATCCTGGCACTGTGCTGTATGAGTTGCATTGACATGCAACCTGATGATTCCTCTGCAGTTAAAACTTCAGGAAGACAAATCCATTCCTTGGACTAATCCAATAGAAGTCTACACATGTGTTGTCATAAGACCCTACTCTCATTTTCTTTCGAAGTTAAATCACACGAAGGGACTGTTTTCAACTCTCAAAGAGCGAAGGCCAGGGATTGAGGCCTTAGTGTCTCAGGGGTATTTCCACCAATCTGGACCGTGTCTCACAGCTCAAATTAGATTTGCTTCTTCTGAACTGTACTTAAAGGAGCCCTGTGATTTTAGGTTAGGCATTGGGCTGGTAATCATAAGGTCGGAGCTTCAAACCTAACAGCTGCTCCACAGGAGAAGGAGCAGGCTGTCTGTACTCATGACGACTGAGAGTCTTGAAAGCTCTCCACGGGAACACTGTGAGTTAGAATTGTCTCACGGCAGTGGGTGGTGTAGTTGGTTATTCATCCCAAGATGGTCCTTGGTCTAGCCTCTTAGATTGTTCTGGATCAACGTTTCCCAAAGTGGTACAATAGGAAGGGGATGTGCAAGTTGTTCTACAAAAATGAGTCCTATGCTTAGAAAGATTTAGGAAACATACTTCCTGCAGGAAAGCAATTCTGATCTCGCTGTCAAAAACTCATTGTCACTGAGCCACCCAATTCTGACTTCCGGTGACTCGCGAGGGCAAGCTCAAACTGTCCTGGCGAGTTTTCAAGGCTGCAACTCTTTACCAGAGTTGAAAAACCTCAGCATTTCTCCTGAGGAGCTGCTGGCGGTTTTGGACTGCTGATCGTGCAGTCAGCAGCCCAACGCGAAACCACCATGCCACCAGATTTCAATCGAGACTAGACTGTGCTCGTTAGCTGTCGTTTTATGGCTTTCTACATCACACTTAACAGTGAATACTCGTTTCACTGCTTATTAGTGCTCTTTATGGGTAAGCTCTATGAGGAGGGACAGTCTCTTGGTAGGCAAACGTGTGTTGAATAAGTAAATGGACAAGTTGCGTCAATGCAATTTTAGCGTCCTTGAATTTATGTACTTGAAAAACCTTCTTTATTAGTTTGCCAAAATATTTACCAAGGTACTTGACAATATATCCTTTTAATGTAGTATGTCTTACTTTCTTCAAAGTTTGTCCCACTTAGAATACTGTTTGAGGAAATGATCTCTGGGAAATCAAGTACCAATGAGAGGAGGCTGGTTTTCTACCTGTAATGTTGCTTTGTAACCAGCTCGTAATGTGTGGGAAGCTGCAAGACAATGGGCTTTGATGTACTCTCTTCAGTAACACATATGTCGCCTGATGCCAAGAGTAAATCTTGGGTTTCTGTAACAGATCTATAAAAAAACAATCAACCAACCAAAGAACCACCTTCCTTTTGATGACAAACCAAATAATTCAGTGATGCATGCTTAATTCCCATGAAGATTTTTAAATTAAATGATGTAAGAGCAAGGTAATATTATGCAATCAAAAAACAAATGACTGAAAAAATGAGACCTAGAAAAAGCAAGTCACAAATAGCAACACTAATAAAAGAGAATGGTTTAACAAATAAAGAAGTGGTAAGTGTATGCTGGTATAATAAAGGAAGCCTTGCTAATTTATTACTTTCATTTAACCTTGAGAAGATATCTTTGCCCACTTTAAAAGCCAAAAGAGAACACAAAAACTCCCAGAAACCAGTGGTCAGGAAGAAGGTTAGCATTCAATCTGGAAGCGCAGGGAGCCGTGCGGTGTAGCAGGTTCTGCGCTGGTCTGCTTACCACAAGGTCAGCCATTCTAAACCGTCAGAGACTGAGAGAGAAAGCTGAAACTTTCTACACCTGTAAAGCAGTCTTGGAAACCCAGAGGTCCGTCTTGACTCTGTCCTCTTATAGCACTATAAGTCCGAATCCATCCGATATCAGTGTTTTATTTCTTTATTTTGATGTAAACCCACACCTGCTTTTCAGCCAAAGCAGTGAGGTGGAATGCTGACTTGGAATGCTAACTCCAAGCTGCGAGAACGGAACCTCTAAATATCACCCCTTCTGTAAAATTGAAAGAAGCCCTGGTGGCACAGTGCATGACACTCTGGGCTGCTAACTGCAGGGTCGGTGGTTTGAGCCACAGCTGCCCTGCAGGACAAAGATGAGACTCTGTGGTCCTGTAACAGACTTGGAAACCCACAGGGGAAGTTCTCCTCTGTCCTGTGGTTTCGATCTGAGTCCAAATTAACTTGACGGCAGTGAGGATGAGTACAGTTGAAGAAAACAGTCTTCCAGAGGAAAAGCTCATCAGAGGTGGAACAATGGCTTGTTAGTTTTTAATCATTCTTCTCTTGGGAAAACTGTAGTCTAAAAGACTTGGCTTCTACTAGCTACATTTCTTACCTATTTTAATTTATTTAGAATTCTTGAAAGAGCTCATTACAAAAGCCTCTGTTTAATTGTTGCCATATACTTTATTTTTGTTTTTCATAAACAATATGGATCAAGTTATGTAATTGCTGGGGATTGGTAAATTATAATGTCTGTGTCTCAAAGTTACACAATTATCCTCACATTCAATATTATAATTTTCGTAGGCCTTAGCAATTAAAGAAAGGATTGGCTATCCTGATGATCTTCTTTCAAATGATGATAAACTGAATAAAGATTATCTTGAGGTAAGTCTCCAAGCTTATAAAGATTCTAAGGTAATGAATAATACCTGTGGTCAATGACACTGTTATTTTCAGCTCTAGGGTTTCATCAATGTGAAGTAACATAAAATTGTAGGTCTCTAAGCCCACCCATGAAGTCAGAACAATGCTTGATTTTTGCCTTTTGCTTCATTGTTCAATGGGCACAGCTGATTTTATTTTATATTCCTTATATTCCATTTAAAGGATACTAAGGAAAATCCAGTGTCATTTGAAGGGCTGGGCACACAGGGCTGGACACGATATAAAGATGCTCTGGACAGCAGAGAGCTCTCTCAAGTTCTTAGCACATCTCACTCAGGCCGGACAAATGAACTCTTCCATGCCCTCCCATTTTCTGTGTGTCCCACCGCTGGATAAAACAGATCATGCATTCTGTGCTTAAAAAGCAGAGCAGTTATAGTCCTAGCGCTGAAAACTTTTATTCTCAGTAGTTTTCATAACAATTAAAAGAACACATACTAGCCTGAGAAAGGGGAAGGCCACAAAATATTAATAATCATACAGTAAAAGAAGAAAAACCCTAACGTCACACTCACAGGACTGATTACAGACTGGGAGGCAGTGAGGTTCCTATAGCTAAGGCTGGGGCCACCTTCACTCCCTCAAACCCTGGCAACAATGGAGTGGACCTTGTCAGGTCTAGGGATGCCAGTGAGACTCAGCCCAGTGGTTTCTGGCCAAAGATGGGATTGGCAAACCATAGTACCTTCTCCTTCCTTTCCGCTTATGGAATAACTTGGCTTTTATCTATTAAATGGACTTGCTCCAGAGGGCAAATCCCAGAGGCCCTTATGACAGGAGCGTCGTGACAAAAAGCCTACGTGTAATCCACACTTGATGGGTTCAAATCCCAGCTCCACCATTCACTAATTTGGGCAAGTGGCTTAAGTAAACTGTGTCTCGGCTTTCTCCCATTTGAGATACATTGAACAGGAGTGTGAGCACAATGAAGGGGGGGGTGGCACTGTTGGGGAAGCATCGCCTGGTCAACCGCAAAGTCGCTAGTCCAACCCCCCCCTACCCGTTTCACAGGAGAAGTGACAACTATCTGTTCCTGTAAAGATTGACAGCCTTGGAAATCCTTTACAGGTCACTGCGAGTAGACATGTTGGCAGTGTTTGGTTTGGAATATATCTTTAAAGTGTTTAGAGCAGTGTTGTCATGCTGTTGGCCGCCCAGTTGCTTCACGCACATGGTGACAAGCCTGTCAGACAGTAGAACTGCTCTGTTGGGTTTCCAAAGCTGTAATCTTTGTGGGAGATGATCGCCAGGTCTTTTCTTCCATGAAGCAGCTCTTGAGTTTGCAAGGCTGGCTTTTCTGTTCCCATCTGAGTGCTTTACCATTGCATTACCTGCCTAGCACATAGCAGGTGCTTGATACGAATGTGCTGGTGTAAGGATTGATATTGATAGAGTGAGGCTTGACTGCTACTAGCATGTAGGAAAACATCCTCTGTGATTTTTAAGAGAAATTTTGAAGATAATTGCTTTCCATGCTTCTCCCTAACTCTTATGTATAATACAGCTGAACTACAAAGAAGAGGAATATTTTGAGAACATAATTCAAAATATGAAGCTTGGCCAAAGTAAGCAACTGAAGGAGCTCCGAGAAAAGGTGGACAAAGACGAGTATGTACAGTCCCTGTCTAATGCGTTCGTTTCTTCAGGAGCGGCCTCCCTGCTCCCCTGTGTTGCACTGGTGGACGAGTCTGACTTAGCAAATGTTAGAAAGCATAATGGCCTCCTTCCGTCAAGGACATTTATGAGTTTTATGCTAAACACCTAGGTCAGGGATTCTGCTGAATTTGATTTTTTTTCTCTCCCCACTAAGGTGTCCTCAGACTAACTCAGTTTTGTGGCTTCTCTCACATTGTTGTATGTGATTCCTACTATGGAACACTCTAGCCTAAGTAACTCTGACTCCTTCAGTCTTTCTCCGAGGTCTCGGCACCTGGAATTTTATACCTTTTGTCCGCAGTTTTTCCTTTTCCAGTCAAGCATCCCATAATTCCATCCTCTCTGGGGGATTTAAGAAAATTCCTCCTACAGCACTTGTCTCCAAGCTGTTGTAGATGAATATAAGAAGTCGTTCTCAGTCATATCTTTCAACTGTGCTTACTTACTCTTTACTTGATGATGTCATCCGTACTCATTAGCTGTGAGTTTGCTTATTTTTCCGTTAAATGCATGTGCACATGACACGTTTAGGAACAAAAACTGTGTGCACTTCAATCCCGGGAGACACTTAGGGAGAACAGGGGCAATTTTTGGTGGGTAGTGGGGAGCACCACTAACATGTTAGTACCCACCATATCAGAGTCTCAATTCAAAAAGAATTAATGCATCCGTGAGCAAATGAAAATAAGCATGCTCCTTGATTGTGTGTCAACTAACACAATGGGATACCAGTCAGGTTCTGGATTCATTCTTGCATTCATTTAACCGTTGGTTTGTTCATCCAACTCATGTTTTGGACCACTAAGTCCAGGTGGCTTCTGACCCTGGGGGACCAGAGGGGAAGCCCACCTGCATTCTAATGTATCACTATAGCAGAAGGTAGACGATACAGAATAGGGGAGGGAAGTGGTGTGCCAGGGCTGGCTTGGAGTCCAGTGGGACTGTGTGATGGAAGGCTTTCTCTTTTCTCATTAAACCAAAAGCAGGTTGGACAAAATCCCCAAATGGAAATGTCAATGCATTTCAGTTCGTGAACAGCGTTTTGAAGGTTTGTAACACCAAGGTGCCCTGACCTGAGAGACTGACTGTGGGGCTGATGTCCGAGTTCATACTGAAGCAAACACACTGGCTGCTGGGTACTAAGATGGGTGCTGCAAATAGCAGAGAATGCTTAGTTTCCCAGGGAGCATAAAAAGGGAAGAGAGTAGGTAGGAATGGCTGGTGTTGTATTCATTTATCAACTTCTGTCTTTTTAAGCACAACAAAAATTCATCAAAAGACATATCCTGCGGGTAAATGTATAATCTGAGAATGATTATTACAAATTGAAATCGTTGCATTCTTTAAAAAACACATATTTAATAGATGGTTAATACTGTGTAGAATGTCTACTGACAAATACTGTCGAATATTCTTTGTGAAGGTGGCTAAAGAAAACTACACCCAGTCAGTAATTTTATACACGGTATGTTGAATGACTGCTGGATAGTTTTCTTTTGAAATTGAGGTAGTCGGTTTCATAATCCTTTTCTAATAGTCTCCACATGCATTCTCTTTCATCATATGTGTTGATGTTTCCTAAATCCTCATCTTTTAGGTCTGTGTTTCCCACAGTGTGCCGCATGTCCCCTGGGGTAGAGGTGCTGGAATGACCCAGGGGAATTGTGAAAGCAGATGTCTGCAACTTTACCCTGGATTATGGGCTAATGTACAAAATATTTTCATTGCCAGCAGGGCGCTGAGGCCTGGTTTTGTTTTGGTTCTTTCTTGAAGAGAGGGTAAGCTGAATATGTGTAGGAACCTATGTTTTAGATCATCTGAAGTCAAGACTGGTATATAATCCACAATCTAGGAATGATAGTTGGTCACTAGTATAACGTGACGAGTATAAAGTTTCCTCTGCCATATCTGGCCTAGCTTTTCACCCGCCTCCCATTTCCCTGCCATTATACGGAATGCGAGGCGCCCTGGTGGCACAGTGGTTACACGTTGGGTGGCTAACTGCAGGTCCAGTTTGAAACCACCAGCCCCTTGGGGGCTTGGTGAGGTTTTCTATTCCCGTAAAAAATTTCCGTCTTGGAAACCCGCAGGGGCAGTTCTATCCATGCTGTCCTACAGGGTCACTATGGGTTGGCATGCACTCCATGGCAGTGAGTGTGGGGTGATACGGAATGCACATGGCTTCAAAATTGCTGTCCATTGAAACCACCTGGAGTGCTAACGAATGGTTGCCCAGCTCCACTCCTCTGGGTTGTTATGCAATTATTTTGTGGGTGGGACCCAGTTCCTGGCAGTCTTTTTAAGTATCCTTCCAAGGGAGAACCGGTGAGTTCGTGCTAGCTCCTTTTTGTGTTGGATCACCTGTGTTCATATTTTATGGAATGTGTTGGAAGATGTTGTGTTTGATTTGGCAAGTTAGGTTTGAAAGCATTTCTGATAGTAATTGCCCTTGCTGGCTACAACATAATAAAAGTCCCTCATATTTTACTGCAGTTGCTTACAGTGAAAGCATTCTGACTAATTTTGCACCTGCTTAATAAAGGCACCGCCCTGTTCTCTTTCTTTCTTTTCCTTTTTTCCAACTGGAACCTCAAGTTCAAATTCTCACTATGCATACTCAGCCCCCCCACCCCCAAAATCTCTTGCTTTGTAATTTTAACATCTATTGATTGCTATTACTTCAGTCAAGTAGCTAGCCCATAGATAGGTGTCAGAGAATTCCATTTTCAGATGTTTCACAAGTTCTTACAAGAAAGATAGGTGTCCATATCTAAAATTCAGAGGATAGAGGTAAGAAAATGTCTTTTGCAGAGTTTTAGAGAGAAATAATAATTAAAGGAATGATATTTTATTTTTGAGGTGTGAATTATGATTTTTCAAATCATCGAACCAGAGAGTAAGCCTCTGGGCTGTTTCTTTTTCTCCACATGCGCTCACTGAGCAGATACACGCATTTTTTTGACTTCTCCTGTCATCAGTGTTCTGCTGAGCATCTGTATCCTCACCGATCTGTTTTATCAGCTCAGCATCTAAGGGTCTAACTGCTTGTGGGAAGTCACCAGGTAGATGTCCGATTGATGCTACCCACCCCATTTGCCATTTTTTACCATTCATTTTGGCATTTCCCCCCTTATTTGCCTATTCTCCAACAACCCCTGGCTTACAGCTACCAAACAGAAATCAGAACCATCCCGTGCTCACCCTTGTTGAAAGCTGACACCATGTCTTATGTGCAGTTGCGTCACTAGAACTTGAGCATGGATAGGAAGACTAAAGAGCCTTCATCAATGTTTATGGAGTGAATGAATAATACACTAGCAGTTTGGTACTAATGCTGATCAGGTTTATAAGACTTAGCTCAGGCCCTAAATTAAAAGTTGCCACATCCATGCGTTTCACCATTGCCATTGGTAAGGATATGGTCATCATCGCTGCTGCCCTCACCATTCAACACATTCAGAAATGGATGAACTTAGGAAGTCTTGTAGCCCAATCATTGGGTAGGAGAGTCTCTCCTGCCCAGATGAGTATCTCCTACTTGCCAAGGATAGGGATTCAAAATTAAACAACCCCCTGTGGTTTCTGAGGACCTACCTGTGTTTCCAAAATCATCTCCAACATTTTATATCATCTGGGGTTTTAATTCCAGTTTGCAAAAAACGTCAAACATGTCCTATTATTAGATATGAATCATATTGGATTTGGAATTTAACATTCCAAAGTAACTTTGTAATATTTTCAGAATTATTTACTTACAATAACACAATTGGTCACTTTGTTTTTTTCATAGCCCACATCAACCTCCAATTAAAATAGATGGAGAATGCCAGAAAAATGAATTTCAAAAATGTTTTTGACTTGAAGTTTTCATTTTTGTTTTGAGGACAAAACTTCATGTGATATAATTCGGTGTGTTATGCCAATGTACGTAAATCATGACACAGAGCCTTAGCATTTTCTTGAACTACATTCCTCCTGTTGTCATGCATCAGAATAAAAGTATTGATGGGCACCAGATCAATAAGCATGTGCAGAGGACTATACTAAGCACTCAGAGGGACAAAAAGATGAAGAAACGTGGCCTTAGTCTTGGGAGCTCACAGTCTAGTGACTGAGCCAAAAGAGTAAAAAGGTAATCTGTCCAAAGGCAGAATGTGTTTGGCACTACAACAAGGAAACGGAGTGATTGCCACAGCACTTTAAAAATAAAACAAACCACCACAGTCAAACCATTATTTGTAGTGAGAAATTATATTTATATATATAGACTTTGGGGGAACAAAATGTCAGCATTTGGGGCATTTTTTCTTTTTTTTTTTTCATTTGAATATATATTTTTATTTAGAATGCAACACCGATACCATGATGATAAACTATCACAAATCTGTACCAAGAAGCACGTGATCCCTAAAATGTTATTTTATTTTCTCCCTACAAGTAATTTAAGTATCCAGCAGCACCAGGATCAGAGGCTGGTCGTTACCAAAAATAGCGCCATTTCCAATGCTGTACAGCAGGAGTATGCAATCTGACCCGCTGCTCCAGTCACCAGCCCTCTGATTGGTTCAGACATGATCGGGACGGCGAGGGCATTTTTCCACCTGCACAACCAGCCTCAGAGAGCCAGATCGCCTCGGCCACCGAAGGGACTCGGGTTATTTTTTCTTAAATCATTTTATTGGGGGCTCATACAACTCTTATCACCATCCATTTTAAGGGGGACAGAAGCTTTACCAGAAACAAATTCATGCGGTTCATGTCTGTCTTCCCTTTTGTTGCTTCAAGCCTGCTGTTTTCCCTCGTCTGGCTAATTACATGAAGGCAGGCCCCAGAGGCTGTCCGCCTAGGAGAGATGGGCACCCAGAGTTCTTCCTGAAAGGCCAGTCAGTGCCACAAAAACTGGCAGGGAGGCTGGCGCCCCGTGAGGTAGCGCCACAGTTTCGTCACGTCTG